AGGTTGAATAAAGTAGGGAAGGGGCCCTCTCAGAGGTGCTTCTGTTTGTTCTGCCCAATTGCAACCCAAGGTTTAGAACAGGGTCTGACACACAGCAGATGCCCAATTAACATTTGTAAAAAGACTGAGCAAAAGCCCAGGTTTCACCATCGTGATCAGCTAAGACAAGGAGTAGAAACTTAAAAGCAGAGGCTCTGAAGACCAAAAGGAGAGATGTTTCGGGCAGAGAGGACCCAACAGGTCACTTGGTGTTCTGAATAAATGACCCACACTTAGAGGGGCCAGATCCGTCCCCTCAGGCCAAGCTGGGACACACGGCCTCCAGGGAGCATCCCTAACATGGAGACACATGTCATGGTCTCGCTCTCCCCCTCTTCATGTTTCGGGAACCCACCCTGGAAAAGGGCTTTGTGACTCAGTGGACCCCCTCCTCCACTATCACCAGATGGTGTATACCCTAAGACATTCAAAAACATGCTGTCTCAATGTCTGAAGTATCTGCCTTGTCACAAAGCTAATCCAAACCCGGAGCTGGCTTCCAACAAGCACCTCGGAGAAGTGGTCACACCAGCCTTGGATCCTTGACCAGAATCCAAGAAGTGGGCTGGCGCATACCCGAAACTCTTGGTAACCTCATCTTACACCTGCTCCCCAAGTCAACAGGCCAGACAGGAAGAGGCTGAGCCCAGGTTGCCACTGAACCCACCATCCCGAGGAGCCTGGCAGAGTGAGCCCTCGGCATGCACCTGTGGGACAAGAATGAGGCCCAAGGGGTCTGTGGAGGGCCAGTGGGGTGGGTATTCTAAGTGGCAGTCACTCTGCTACTAACACTTACCTTCTTGGGTGATGCAGATAGAGCCACAGCCCATGCCCACACGTAGCCCATCCACACCAGCGTCAATCAGATTCTTGGCCTGAGCTGCTGTCACCACTGGGGTGGGGGTGGGGGCGGGCAGAGAAAGAGGAACAGTGTGAGGATAAGAGCCCCTGTCCTGCCCTGGGGCTCCCTGGGACCCCAGTCTAGCCCCCACCCCACCTACAGTGACCGGAGCCTATTCATTCTGCCCCCTGCCCCCCCACGCAGGGGTGATGCCATCAATTGGGGATGCTGAGGGAAAGGAAGTTACACAGAGAGGAGGCAAGGGCCAAGGGTGAGAGGGGACTCCACACTCACCATTCCCCCCAATCACCTGGAGGTGGGGGTACTTCTGCTTGATGTAGTGCACCATGGCGATCTGGTACACAGAGTTCCCTTGGGATGAGTCCTGTGAGGAGGGGGACAGGAAAGCTTAGGCTACTATGGCTGAGGGTCCTCCCTGGGGGGAGGGAGGTCTCGAGTGGACAGACTCCTGGAATAATACGAAAAATGTTATGAGAATGCCCCTTTTTTTTTTTTCTGAGAAGACAACTGACAGCTTTCGACTGGTTCTCAAAGGGACCTGCTTTCCCCAAAAGGTTAAGCACCACTAATGTATAGTTTCAGAGCAGACAAAGCCCTGTCACAGCCACCGACGGACTGGTCCTCATGGCGAGGCTGCCTGGGGCCTATGCTATTTCTACCAACTCACTAACCAAATGAAGGTGCTTAACCTCCTCAGCCTCCATTTCTTCATCTGACAAGGGGCATGGTCACTGTACTTGGGGCAGGTCAGGGGGTTGCTGTTGGGAGGATTAAATGAGCCTATCTACATAAAGGTCTTAGTCCGGGGCCTGGCAAGGGGGAGGTTCTCCATGAATGTGAGCTCTAAGCACTGGGGCCAACTTATAAGCACACCCAGAAGGCCCTCAGAGAGGTCCACGGTTGGTTTGGGCTGTCAGAGTACCACAGACCCTCCTGATTCTGACTCTAGGCTTAATTAGAGACAAACATGGGTCTTCCTAAGCCTCTACTCTACCGAAACACCCTGGCTCCAGGGTGGTGCCCGTACCAGCACTATGACATCAGCACCCGCCTGAGTGAGCAGGTCCAGGCGGTACTTGTCATCCTCACGGGTGCCCACGGCTGCCCCGCAGAGTAGCTGCTTGTGAGAATCCTTGGAAGCCAGAGGGTAGTCCCGGTTCTTCTTCAGGTCGGTGCGGGCAATGATGGCCACTAGCTCGTCATGATCGTTGACAATGGGCAGCTTCCCTGACAAGGAAGACAGAGGTGAGATGAAGGAGCAGCCTCTGGGGGCCTGGAGGGTGGAGGGAGTGAGGATGAAAATGGACCAGCGATTCCACTGAAGTACCTAAACCAGCCACTAGGTGACAGCACCCACCCAGGAAGCACTCCTAGGGACAAGGACCTCTTCCCAAGGAACAGGAAGCAAACAAACCTTGTAGCCCAGAGGGTTCCCAAAGCTCTTCCTGCCCTGTGGCCTGGCCTGGCCAGGCTGGGGTGGACGGCCCCTGAGCACTGGCAGCCTTTCACCTGCTGGGCCACAGGCCACAGTGGTCGAAAACTCTGAGCCAGGGCACAAATGCGAGGCTGTCCTATAGGGAGGAGCGTGTGCCCTGCCCAAAACCACCCCCAGAGAACAATCTCGTATGGGCCAGGGGGAGTATGTTCCAGTGTCGCCCGCAGGGAGCTAATGAATATTGCATCAATAGCCCCAATGGCAAATAAATTTAAGTGCAGGACTTCTCAGTCATTAATAAGCTAATGTACAATTCTTATGCAAGATGGACGATACAGAAAAGAGCATTTTTTCAGACTTTTAAGACCAGAAAGCTCCTTTTTTCATAATAGACATTTCATACGACTAGGTTTTTTTTGGAGGAAACATAATGTGAAGATGCTGAAAAGGGACAGGTTTTCCTAAGCTAGGAAAAGGACCTCATGAATCACGCTCCAGCCTGGGGTTATTCAAACCTTCCCCAAGGCCCAGTCTGGTTGCTGGGATGCCTGCAAGGCTGTGAAGGAATAGGAGGAACAGGCGTACAGGGAGCCGGGCTGGGGGTGGGCGTGAGGATGGGGAAGGGGATCTTGAGTTTTCTGCCTACTCCTCGGTACCTTTTTTGCTGCGCTGCAGGATCTCGTTTGCCTCTTTCAATGTCACACCTGCTGGGGCCACCACCAGCTCATTCCGTGGTGTCATCACCTGTGGGGCCAGGAACATTTCCCTGCAGGTTGGCAGGTGAGAGAGAAGGGAGCCAGACCTCCCTCTGGTCCCTGGACACAGGTACCAGCCTG